TTGTGTTACTGGATCTACATTTTTCTCTTCATACATAATGATTGATTCACTTTTTCAAAATCATTACCTTACATCGGTTCATTGTAATAGTTTGACACTGTTGCACAAAATAAATGTGTGTTAAGTATCGATTTGTCGCATGATATCAAATAACAAATAGTCAGTCAGCAATTTATTATTTTTCAACGATTATTTTGCAATACATTATACGAATACTGCATGATTATTAAATTGTTACTCTTTAAAATATGATACAAACATGAAATACTTTCATCTGATTGTCCAATTCTCACGGATATAATTATAAACAATTAAAGTATAAGGAAAATCAAAAAGATAAAACATTACAAATTTATTAAAGAAGAATGTAAATTGTTTTGTAAATTCACGGTATTAATTATGTGACATGTAATTACTATCGCTGTTCACTTTTACGATGGCTCTAAAAATTTAAATTATCATTAATAAGTGTAATTTTATTTTAATTTTTTTATTGGCTTTGTAAAATTGTAAATTTATATATACTTTGTAGACACGCTGTTAGGTGACTTTTAGTTCATATTATGAAATAATTATTCTTAGTAGTCTCTGCTTATTTTTCATAAAAAATACAGATTGCAGAATAAATTAAAAAAAAATATTTGTAAATTAAACAATGATAGCTAAGAATAAGATTTTTATAAAATAGTCTATAACTTTTCAACATGCGTTGATTTTTATAAAGTTTTTTCTTTTTGGCTTTTATACAATTTTAAATATTATGGTAAAAAGTGCGTACCAGAATAAATGAAGCTTAGAGTTTAGTATCAATTTGTTATTGAAGATCCAAATTAAATGCTAAATTTAATAATGTATTTGTTTTGTTACTACTTGTTACTAATATCGTGTTATTGTAAGAATATTATCAACTTCATTTATTACTATAGCATATGATGAGACATAAAATATCTAACCTATTACAGTTTCGCTATATAGAAAATAATTACACATAACATTATGCAAATTATGAAAAAGTTTTCAATTTTAGTTGTAACAGAATTTTTAATAAATCAAAATCAAATTTTAGTATGATTTTTTTTAATAAGACTGTAACACAATTTTGTTGGTTTAAATATAGCATGTATAAAAGGTGGAAACCATTCTAGGAATAATCATTTATAACCACGAACTGCTGCATGACTACTACCTAAAATATCACGTGATTATAATAAAACCTTCGGCTTTGGTAAAATCCATACACATTTATAACGAGCGTTATCAAAACGTTTTATTCGAGATATAATAAGATTAAATTGTTATGGAATCCAGATTCTATCAATATTTTGCAAATAAGCAACATAGATATGTACCTGTCGTTCATATCTATGTGAGGCTGATATTGGATCTTCGTTGCTCATTTCAATGCTGTCATTGATAAATTATCAATCGCTTTTGATAATATGTAATTTACGATGCCTTCTGACTCGTATATTACACTTTTGATACTTTGTGACCCATTTAAGAAAATGTAATTGCTATATATAAACTATTTGGATGCTTAAGTTTAACAATGTTAAATTTTATATTAGTGAGAATTATATGCAATAGAATTTGATCATGTTCAACATAAAAAGTATTATCATCTCCATAAACACATGCGGAAAAAATATTCTTAGACCGCTCGTCAAGATAACAAGCATATTTATTACATAGATTACTTATTACCTATTCACCTATTTACAATAATATATTGTAATATTACATGATACTTATTAACATTAATATATTGTAATATTACATGATACTTATTATCATTAATATATTGTTTTCAACTCACTTTTATTTCTCAGTTGACTGAAACTAATAGAAGCTTGAAATAGACCACCTTACTTCATGTATTTTCTAATTATTAGTTATACAAATGTTGAATGATATTTAACAAAAAATGCAAAGATTCAACTTATTTCTAATATATAATAATTATTATTTTCAATAAGCTGAATCTTCGATACTTGTAAAAGTTTTGATTGTTATTATTCTTTACAATTTATTAATTAATTCCAGTTATTAAATTACAAAAAGGAAAAGTTCTATATTTTTTACTGTTTTCATTTTACTTATATTATAATTATTATTCTCATCGTTAGAGTACTTTGTATTGTATATCAGATACTTTAGGTGGTCTCAATGTAATATGAAAAATAAGATGTAATAAGAAAAAACGATTTTTACTATGACACATTTATTTACATTATCAAATGACATTTCATGAAAAAATAGACTTTATACTATTTTCAACTTACTTGTATTATGATAACTATCATTCTTCGTGTAGATCTGTAGAAAAAATAGTTATAAATAGTATTATTGCGGTTTATTAATATGAATAATTTAGTCAAATTATTTATTAGCATGTAATGAAAAAAGCAGGTACTTGACTAAAGTGGTCATCATGTGATATATAGAGAAAAGTTCTAATTATTATTATTTTTTAATAATGAAATTTTTATACCACTTTTATTGAAAAATTCAAAGTTTATGGCATCTTTGCTAATTTCAATAAAAATATCAAGTTTTTTTTAAATTAATTTAGTAAAATCGTATGGGAAAGTTTGAAATAAATCTGGAAAATAGACGATTATTCTAGTTATTTTCTTCGCATAAATGCGGTTTATGGTTAACGGGGTACTTAGGTCTAGTATTTATAAAAAAACCGATTTTTTTTATATTTTGAAAGCTTAACTATTCAAACATATTTGTACAAGATATATTAGAAAAAATGATTTGTATTCGGATATTTTCAGAGTATAACTATTAAGGAATATGTATAGGGACGAGTGGGTATGGTATTGATAGTCTTCATAACAGCAAAACTATAATGATTTTAAGATAGGGTCCAAAGGGAGAAAGATGAAGTATATTTGTTCGAACAAGTTTACATTATTGCATTGAGTCAGCACCCTACATTGATCTGTAAACCGAATTGCTATTAAAGAGCCAAAAGTAAGCTTTTATGTTCGATTTTTTTAACACTTCATTTGTTATTTTGCTGTAAGTTGAGCATTAGTAGTCAATTACCAGAAAATAGTTTTGTTTTACGTGATATGTATATGTTGTGAAATTTAAACAGATAAAAAAATCTAACTCAACTAAGACAAAATACAAAGGAAATGGGGGAGAAAACATTCGATACAAGTAAACAAAAGATTTCACAAAGATAAGAAATCATAATTGTAAATAATTTGAAATTACAAATTTTAGAAATTATGTTTTGTCATATATTGTTATATTATCTTCATAAGCTCTTTTTAAATGATTATTTTATGTTACACATTTCTGACAACAACAGTCGTTATAAAGCATTTTGGTTTTCAAAACTATTGCTTTTTTAACCTATTTTTGTGTTATTCGGCCTTTTTCTTGTATGATTTGATTCTATGAATGATCCATCGTATTAAAGGGCAGTATTGCAGTATTTCCTCGTAGACAATAGTTAAAATTACCATTCAATTTACTTTTCTCCCAGCTTAAAGGTAAATTAACAAATTATTGTTTATCAAAAAAAAGTGGCACAACCGTACTTAGTCTCTGTTACTAGAGGATTTTTCAGAATTTTAATTCTTTTTGGAGATATAGTTGTTTCGATAATTAACTTCCCGTAGGGTAAGTTATTGTAATGGGCCGAAAATCGAAATTGAAAATTTTCACATTTCTCGACGTTTTGAAGGTTTCTAAACGTTTTGGCATACCTCAGCAAAAATGAATGTGTGTGTGTGTGTGTGTGTGTATGTATGTATGAATGGATACAAATTTCCAGTCACGTTTCCGGGCGCACGGATCAACCGATTTGAATGGTTCAAAAAACATTCGATTCCTATTGATAGGGAGAAGAGCTGATTAGTATTTGGCAAAGGCAGGTCCACCGTTTCGGAGATACGGAGCAAAGAGTGCAGAAAATAGAAATCGAGTTTTTGAGAGAACGGAGCGTCCGATTTGAATGATCTAAAAAACATTCAATTAGTAATGATTAGGAAAAGTAGTTATTAGTTTTTGGCAAAGGCAGGACTAACCATTTCGGAGATACAGAGCTAAATGTGCAAAAAATGGCAGTTTTTGAGAGAACTAAGCGTCCGATTTGAATGATTCAAAGAACTTTCTGCTTGTTTTAACAAAATAATTGATTTTGGAAAAAAAAAATTATTTCAAAATTTTTTTTTCATTTTTTTTTTTTCAAAAAAAATTTTTTTTGTATATCGAAAATAATTCAGATTTTAATCGTAATTCTGACTAAAGTTCTAATGTACTTTAAACAAATATGTTTAACTTTGCAATTCAGTTTATATAATTCTTATAAATATTAGACAATGTTACAATATTTATAATAATCTATTTGAAAACATTCAATATTTCTCGAACATTTCGTTACGGTAGGGAAGTTCCAGCAATTTGCCTTAAGGCACGACACCATACACCCCACTAGTTTTCCTTTGTTTTTTTCCTTCGCAAACATTAAGCGACTTTTTCTCGAAAATCTCAACTTTTTTATATGATACCCACGATTTCTTAACTTCTACAGGACCGATTAACTTGAAATTTTTACAGAGGCTTTTTTTTATAGACTTCTCTTCAATTACTCATTTTTAATTATTTTAAAAAAAATCGAGATTTGAATTAATATATATATATATATATATATATATATATATATATATATATATATATATAATATATATATATATGTGTGTGTGTGTGTGTGTGTATCTACAGCTATAGCTATAGCTATAGAACACTCTACCCCTTCTTCGAGCCTCTAGACCAGTATACCATACCCTCCTAATGAATTAATCAGCCTGATTGGTCGGTCTTTTTCCTAATCGGCTAATTTCGGCGTTAATATTAGTTCGGAATAAAAACAATAGCCTGCCGAATAGGTTTGTGGGTCTGTGTCGCGTGTGCAGGCGGGGAGCAAACTGATAAGAGCGAACGCTTTTAGCGGTTACCGATCGGTGGCAATTGCAAAGCACGCGGCGTCTCGACAAGTCATTGTCGATCTACCGCTGTCAGGTGTAACACGCGACTTGAAACAATTAGCAAGCTCTAAAGATTTTTCATTGATTTTTCGCGATTTTCTCGAAACAGTGATTTGAATTTGAAATGGATATTAAGAACGTCAAACGTCACGAACCCTTGGAGGACTTCTTGTCCGAGTGCAGATCCGAGAAGTGGCAGCTTGTTGTAAGATTTTTTTTATTATTTTTTAAATATTTTATAGTGACTGTGTGCATTTGAGTGTTCCTTAATGGAAAAATGCATTTATTTAATTTGCTGCTAATTACTAGGTCTTAATTGAGAAGTTATTGCACTTTACTGTCAATTTCAATTACCAGCTTTCCTCTGTTTATTATTTATTTTTCTAAGTTTTTTTTGTGATATACTGTGCGTACACTAAATAAAAGTGGTCTAATTGTAGTAATTTATACAGTCCTTGAGTTACATTGAAATGGTTCTTTTGTAACGTTCTATCTATAAATATACTATTATCATGTACAATTTGCGAGATAAAGTATCGGGCGTTGCACAACGTTGATTAGAGTGACACCTTAGGAACCGTGAAAAATATTAAATAATTACTAAGATTTAAGACTGCTTATATTGTTATTGATATTTATTATTACGTTAATAAATGTATGTATTATGAGAACAATGCGTATATGTCATATGAATAATCTCGATTGTTGTAGATAATATATTCATGATACTAATTAAGGAAATTCAAATCACAAGGTGGAATCATTTTAATTGGACCCATCTAAGTATTCTTATCGTACATTGATAAGTATGAATTATTTTTTCGTATATCTATCATTTTTCGGAACGAACAAACTGCAACATTTTGAATTAACACAAGGCGTTATTGCAAACTCATTCCCAACGATACGAAAATGTCGATAAAATATCTATCTTTCAATTGGCTCTAGATATAGTGATATATTTTAACAAAGTTTGAATGATTTACTTAGAAAATGAGTGGGCCTTTCCGCGACAATCGACTTACGTAAGCTTTGATACTTGTCATAAATTGATGACTAATTTGTAATAAAAATGCATAGACGATATGTAAATTATTTAGAAGTAATTTGAAAAATTACTCAGACTTAGAGTAAAGAATGATAAACTCATGTGCAAATATTTGTAATATCTAAAATAAATCGCCATACCTAATTTCCTGCGAGTTTATATATCTTATAAAAATTGTTTGCGTTTTTATATGACCTAAATGTGAATTCCAGTCAATGTAGAATGCACCTAAATATTTCTTGTATGTTTCGTTTATTTTGGTACAGCCATTTATTATTCATTCAACTTGTAATTTGTAGCAATTGGTAATAATGTGATTATTAACATTTAAATATAATTAGATCCATTTTTATAAATTGTCCATAACCAAAGTTAACGCTTAAATAAATAACAGAAATTCATTGTTTTAACCGTCTGAGTTTGAAACGTCGCTATAGCGACGAATTTGCGCGCCAAAATCAACGATCGGCACTCAAACAGTTAAGTAACAACGGCTCGGAGTGCAAAAGGTTAACCCTTTACCCTTAAATTTACGAATTTGATGGGAATAATTATTTTTTAATCTTTCAATTCTTTGCGCCTTAACAATTGCATAAGATCTTAAACTTTTAACAAGTTATGTCTTCAACATATCTATGATAGCAAATACTATATTTAATGAGAATTGAATATTACATTATAAAAATGCATAGCGTTCAAAGATTCTAAAAGAAACATTTTCATTTATTATTATTTTTTATGAACGGCCGCTATTAAACACTGTTCAAAGTCGTTTTCTTACCGTTGTGTATAAATTTTAAAGTAGCTAGTGGTGCGTACCAAAAATTAAAATTTTTAAAAAAGATTCAATTTTCTTTTAGAACTCTAAAAAATCGACTTTTAAGATTTTTAAAATGTTTGAATAAAAATTGACCTTTTTGAAAAACTGATTTTTTATACTTCGAAATATTTCGGAAATTTTGAACTTTTTTTTTTGCAATCGCGAACGTTAGCTGCGTAGAAACGAAATATCGAAGCGGGTGGACAATTGTCAATCAATGCAAATAAAATGTTTTTTGAATCATACAAATCGGACGCTCCGTTCTCTCAAAACATCAATTGCCATTTTTAGCACCTCGTTTCTTCGAAACGGCTCGACCTGCTTTTACCAAAAACTAATCAGCACGTCTCCTTATCAATACGAATCGAATGTTTTTTTTAATTATTCCAATCGGTTGACTCGTATTCCTGAAATCGTCGGCGAACATTTGTATCACACACACACATACATACACACACATACATACACACACACACATACATCCATTTTTTCCAAGATTTGTCAAAATGCTCAGAAAACTTTAAAACTTAGATATATAAAAAATTTTATTTTCGATTTTTTTTGCGATTACCCTGCGGGAAGTTGATTATCTTCAGACCTAAGATGCTAAACAATAAAAACATCAACAAATATAAAAAAATACTAGGTTGTCAAATATCTCCCTTCCGCCTTTTTGTATTATAAACCAAGAGCAAAAAAGCGGAAGGGAGATATTTGACAACCTAATACTTGGACGATGAAAATAATGGTCTATGAAATAAAGTCCGACTTCATACTTACAGTTATTTATTTAAATAAACTTTAGGGATTTATAATAAATAAATCTACATTAATATAGACTTTTTAATTAAAGACGACGTTTTCCAACAATTAGATATCTTGAAGCATAGCTGGTTGCTCGTTTGCATTGTATACTAATGTAAATAGTTAGAGAAATGTGTGGATTATAAGAGAGGTTGCTAAATTAGGGAAACGATGTATAATAATATTGGATTTGTTGATGAAACATCATGTTAAATAAAATCCCAGGCACATAGTATATGAATATGCCAAAAACTTTTAATACATCCAGAAAATTAAACGGGTATCGCAACAAAACTGCGATTAACTCTTTAGATATGATATCGATAACGTCAGCATTATGCGAACACCGTGATAACGAGGGCACTCCTTATTGTTAGCAAAATGTGATAGCTTCATATAATGAATACGTGTCTTCATTTTTAATTATTTGGTACCCAATTAAATCGAGGAAACTAGCTGTAAGTGGAATTCTGTCTTAAGGCAATTAAGGCATCGTGCCTTAAGGCAAATTGCTGGAACTTCCCGTACCAAAAATTATAATTTTTTTAAAAACGATTAACATTTTTGAAAAAAAAATTACTTTGAAAAAATAAGATTTTTGGGAAACTATAAATTGGACAAAAAATAACTTTTTTTTGAAAAAAAAATTTTTTAAAAAAAAAAAAATTTTTAATTTTTTTTTTTTGAAAAAAAAAAATTATTTATTTTGACATATTGTGGAAGATCTGAACTTTTTTTCAAAGCAATCGTACTGCTTTAACTGCATAGGCACAAAATATAAAGCGCGTAAGCGCCGCGTCGCTGTCTAACGCATAAGCATTGGTACGGAACCCATAGGAATGTTGACAAAATGTATACTTATTGTTAAAATCTCTATAAAATATCTGATAATTTGATGTGCATATGTCTAATGATCATTTTTGACCGCCAAATGGCTCATTTTTTAACTTTTTCCTCCATATCTCCGAAACCGCTAGACCTACCTTCATGAAAATTTCATCGATTTTTCATCTTGTCAATACAAGTGAAATGTTTTTTGAATTATTCAAATCGGGCGATCCGTTCTCTTAAAAACTGAGTTACCGTTTTCGGCACTTTTTGCCCCGTATCTTCGGAACGGCTAGACCTGCCTTCGCCAAAAACTAATCAGCACGTCTCCTTATCAATACGAATCGAATGTTTTTTGAATTATTCAAATCGGTTGATCCGTGTTCCTGAAATCGTCGACGAAAATTTGTATCCGCACATACATACACACACGTACATACATACACACACACATACACACACACATACACACACACATACACACACACACACACACACACACACACACACATACATCCATTTTTTCTAAGGTATGCCAAAATGTTCAGAAACCTTTGAAACGTAAAGATATATAAAAATTTTCATTTTCGATTTTTTTGCGATTACTATAACTTACCCTACGGGAAGTTAATTAATTACGCAACAATAATCAACGACGGTTGAAAGCATTCAATACTGTCTTCTATTTGTAATAATGTGTCTATTATGTTAACATTTGTCTAAAATATCATGATTTCACTTAATGTAGTAGCTATGTCTTATTGACAATAAAATAATGTTTTGGCGCTTTGATAGAGATAATAGGCCCTTCTTTGGCTTAGTAGTTATAGTTATGGGCCTCCATTCATATCCGTCCAGATTCGATAACCGTTTCTGACAACTTGATGCCAAGTAGTAGTGACATGGGTATTCTAGATAGCAATATGCCAGTTGAAAATAGATATTCCCGGCATTGTTGCATATAATAAAATGTTATCAGCATTAGAATTTCTAATAGTAAATTAATCAAATAGGAATAGGTTACATGCTGGGTTGTCATCTATAAAATCTCGACATTAAGAAGACACCACAATAGCTTATGGGACTAGTGAAGTTCTGATTGTTGTTAATAATATCCACACATATTTGTATACTTCTATTCTGGAAATTTGTTATTATTTCATCTTGTGTCTACTAATATGAACTTCAACTATTTTTGTCTTTTAAAAATTATCTAATAATATATGTATACGTAAAAGTGTTCACGACGTTTAATTTCGCATTGGGATTTCAATCAGGGGATCCAGATCTGATACTCGTTAAGGGCAGCCTGATATCAAGCCATAGTGGATCGATTATCACTTGATAATATAGAGAGCAATATGTTTCCAAACGAAATTAGGCCTTACCCGGCCTTGCTGTAATACCTCGATTTTTTTTCCCCTTTCGAGAGATTTTTTGAAATATTCTGTAACAGTTATTGTTTTCATAAACGATTAAAGTGGATCGAAAAGAATTAATATAAAGGTGGAGAATAATTACATATTGGATAACTACTAGCAAAGTATTGGCCTATTGGCAGTGATAATACAAAAAATTATCACATAGTGTTTGAGTTGCCATTTATAAAACCGACGTAGTTAAAATTTTTGATTGTTGTCTCTGTAAGGTCTTGAATCTTGTTTTACTGGTGCATCCCCAGAGCTCGACTCCATAGGTCCATATAGGTTTTATGAAAGATTTGTAAATAAAAACTTTGTTGCTTTCCTCTAGCTTTTAAAATTATTTTTTTGAGTTTTATTTCAACATATATAATACACATTAAAAATATTACAGAAACCGATTTTTGAACACCGTCTCGAAAGGGTTAAATAGGCGATTTATCTATAGCGAAATCGTATTACCTAAAATTTCTTTGAGTTACCACTTTATAATCACACGTTTGTCCTATTTAATTTATTATAGTATGTATTACTTAATTTATTTTTTGTTCTTTTTTACAGTTCGATAAAAACAAGGATGGTTTCATCGATCTCAAGGAACTTAAAGAAGCGTTGGATGTATGCGGTTTCCGGTTACCTGGATGGAAAGTCCGCCAAATGACTGATGAGTTCACGGCCAAGGCGCGCAGTTGCAATGGCAGATTATCGTTTGATGAATTCGAACGTTTATGCATAGAACTGAAATCTAACGAGGTGAAGATAAATGACTACATCATTTTACTTTTCATTAATTCCGTATTTTGTTATTAAATACATTTAATTTATCGGAATAATGTTTAATTGATATTTTATATTATAATTTTTTATTATTTTAGGTCGGTAGTACGTTCAAGCAAGCTGTGTCCAAAAAAGAAAATTTGGAGACTTTAGGCGGTATGTCCGATGCTTCCAGTGAAGGAACAACCCATTCGGTGCGTCTTGAAGAGCAACTCGCATTTTCCGATTGGCTCAACTCGAATTTAGCTCATGATCGCGATCTCACTCATCTGTTGCCCATTGATCCTGAAGGCAAGACTCTTTATGACAAACTCAGCGATGGCATCATGCTTTGGTTAGTAAAACAAATATTCCAAATAATAATAGTATGAAAAAGTGTTAGTAACTTATATTTTTTATTTACTTGCAGCAAAATTATTAACTTGTCATGCCCGGATACCATTGATGAACGAGCAATTAACAAGAAGAATTTAACGCTTTATACAAAACATGAAAACTTAACCCTTGCACTGGTTTCTTCCCAAGTTATTGGTTGCAATATCGTTAACATTGATGCTCATGATTTGGCGAAAGGAAAACCTCACTTAGTATTGGGTCTGCTTTGGCAAATAATTCGAATTGGTTTATTCAACCAAATCACATTGGAGCACTGCCCTGGTTTGACTTCTCTTCTGTATGAAGGTGAAAAAATAGATGACTTGATGAAACTCTCTCCTGAAGCTATTTTATTGAGATGGGTAAATCATCATCTTGCAAACGCTGGAACTATTAGACGTTGCAATAACTTCCAAGTCGACATTTCGGATTCAGAGGTTTATACTATTCTGTTGAAACAAATTGCACCTCCAGAAGCTCAAGTTACGAACGAAGCTCTCATGGTTAGTTCTCAAATTTTAATGCCTAAGTTAATCTCGAACTTTTCTTTAATCTCGGTTTATTACTATCGAATAGATTTCCTACTTGTACCATAATCACATCTCAAACCAAGCAAGCAAACTAAAGAAAGTTTTAGTAAAGTATTTTTCAATAATTGTGGTGATATTTTATAATTATTTTGGTAATGCAGGCAAAAAATAAGATTGTTGTAAATAAATAACTTCTGAGTTTGATACTAACTTTTCAAAATATAGGTTTCCTAATTTGCGTTGATCAATTTAATTTGATAAATACGTTCTCGATACTTGTCCAAAACAAATTTTAAATTATTATGTTGTTCAATCAGGAACAAGATATGACAAAGAGAGCTGAGATCATGCTGCAACAAGCTGCTAAACTCAAATGCAGAAGCTTTGTAACAGCAGCAGATGTTGTTAATGGCGTTTATAAGTTGAATTTAGCGTTCGTAGCCAACTTGTTCAACAACCATCCAGGATTAGATCGTCCAGAAGGCGAAATAGAGGGATTAGAGACTGTGGAAGAGACCCGCGAAGAAAAAAGTAAGAAATATATTTTACAATAACTTCGTTTTTTGTCACCGTTTTTAATCTTTTATTTTATTTTAGCTTACCGGAATTGGATGAATTCTATGGGCGTTTCACCACATGTTAATTGGTTGTATTCAGACTTAGCTGATGGTGTTGTGATATTCCAATTGTACGATGTTATTAAACCTGGTATTGTTAACTGGGCTAGAGTGCACAGAAAATTCTCTACCTTGAGAAAGTTTATGGAAAAATTAGAGAATTGTAACTATGCTGTTGATCTTGGAAAACAGATCAAGTTCTCACTAGTTGGTATTGCTGGACAGGACATCAGTGAAGGAAATGCTACTTTAACTTTAGGCAAGAATCAAATTTATTCTCATCTATGTGACTTATAGTATGCATAGTATAAAAAATAATTACATTTTAATTGCAGCGCTCATATGGCAGTTGATGAGAGCTTATACTTTATCTGTGTTGACACGTTTGGCAAACACTGGAAGTCCAATAATTGAAAGAGAAATTGTTCAGTGGGTGAATACCAAGCTAGCAGGTGCCAATAAAACAACATCTTTGAGTAGCTTCCAAGACAAAACAATTTCAGATGCTAAAGTTGTAATAGACTTAATCGATGCCATTAAACCGGGAACTATCAATTATGACTTAGTTAAATCTGGAAATTCCCAAGAGGTAAAGCGTAATGATGATTTATTATTTATCATAATATATTTTTTTATTTATTACTGTATTTAATATATGTTAGTAAATGATGAAATACAAGATTTTGAATTGAAAGTAAGTTTTCAGCCAAGATTTTTGTTCAGAGAAATAAACGCAGGTAAACTCCACCTGGAATGAGACTGCTATTTTAAAAGAAATAATTTAGTTAAATCATTATTATTGTAATTGTTTTTAGTATGTGGCATTGAAAGCGGACATATCAATTTTTTATCCACAATTTTAGTCATTATTTATATTGCAGGATTGTTTGGCCAATGCAAAGTATGCAATTTCAATGGCTCGCAAGACCGGTGCTCGTGTGTACGCTCTACCAGAGGATATCACTGAAGTGAAACCAAAAATGGTCATGACAGTATTTGCTTGCCTTATGGCAATAGACTACATTCCTAACATGGATAGCATACAGCAATAACATAAATAACATGAATTGTCAATAGATGCAAATAATAATCTGAAATGTTCTATTGCAAATATTAAAAATATAGTTAATAGCGCAGCAATTTATCAGATTTGAACAGTAAAGTAAGGAATATAATAGACCAATCTGGAATTTTGTTAATTAATGGTACTTTAAAGTGCCATTCTCCTTGCATGAAATTAGATCTAAGATTATTTGATACTGTAAGATAAGATTTTGATATAACTTTGTGTTAGGCTATATTTGTTTCTTCATATTATGATATAGAGATTGCTAAGTATAATATAAGATTGAATATTTTATTATAAAAATAATTAATTCTGTGGCTCAAACATACTTTTCAGTAGTTTTAGTAGTTGATATAATCACTACCTAAACTCTCTAAACGTTTTAACTGGTAATTCGTAAATTTGATTTTGATTTTTATGGGCAACAACAAAATTTCAGCTTGGTCCTAATATTAGAAGATAAAGTTTTAATTTGATTGCAATATTTCACTTACTTAATTATTACTTCAACCTAATTAATTATACCGTAGAATAAGATTTCAGATTATTTGTTTATTGTAAAGTTTATATATATATATATATATATATATATATATATATAATATAATATAATATAGTATATGCATAATTCATATAGTTTTTCATGAGGCTCAAGTCTATGCATATTTTTGTAATATTAATAAGTATAGTTTTAATATTGAAATTACCGATCATTGTAAATATATGTACGTCCATCCTATACCTTAAATTATGGATGTTTCTGATGAGCAACAATCGATGAACAATTTTCACAAGACATTAAGAATATTTTGATATACCTACCATTTAATGCCTGCATTTTTTGTATGATTTTAAGAGCTTTATCATTGGTTTATTTGCCATTAAGTTTCCTCTATATTGATGGGACTAAATTACTAAACTAATTTGAATAAATTGTTCATGAATTGTCACTCAATTTTGTATGATATATATATATATATATATATATATATATATATATATATATATATATATATATATATATATATATATATATATATATATATATATATATATATATATATATATATATATATATATATATATATATATATATCCATATATATATATATATATATATATATATATATATATATATATGCATCAATTGTAAATCTTGCGTATGTGCATACATTATGCATATATTTATATTATAAGAATTGCTCGGAGATTAGTTATTAATATTTAATAATACTTAGTTTGTATGAATTAATATAAACATTTTAATAATTATTGTATCTGTGATTTTTTAATTCAACAAAAAATATAATGCAAATGCAACAAATTATGCTTACTTTATTTTTATTAACAGTAGTGAACACTTTGTGCTTACACAGAAATAAGAGAAATGAACACATTGTGATATGGAATTTGTCTAACATCTCAACAGCGACTGTTCTTAAAAGGGACTTTAAATCATGATCATGTATATGAGCACATCTTTCTCATTATGTTCACGTAGTAGCAACTCAGGAAACATTTTTATAGAAAAAACATTTTAAACTGAATATTCAGATATACTTGTAATTCCAATCATGAGACTAATTTTTTTATTTTATTTTATATAGCATAAAAATGAGATAAGCACAGCCTTTTTAAGTATGTAAGACATATACTTTTGATTATGTGTAAGGGCTCAAAGTACCATACAGATGCATTTCTTTCAGTGATGAATTTAATTTACGATGCATGTAAATATTTAATTTTTGTTTCAAATTGTAAAATAATATTTTGTAATAATAATATTTCATTTAATTTTTTGTAACATGTACATGTTTTTTTTGAACTTCAATATTTGTGTAATTATGAAAAATGTATTTTACTGTATTGTACTGTATGAATATTGTCTTGTTTATCAATATACTTACATAATTAGTGCCAAAGTGGTATAGTAACACGAATATAAATTGATGTAGAGCCCATTTACAATATAAATACAATTTTAAACTTTTAAAATAATTTATTTGTTTTAATTACAATTGATCACAATACTTTCACATAAAAATTTTGAATAATAGGAACCAGCCATTAGAATTCCATAACAAATTAAAACTAACAATGTTTTTTTGATTTTCCAGATCTCTTGGAAGTATTCATCAAATCACAAGAATCTGAATCTGAGTCAGATGACGAGCTGTAAAAAAAACTTATTTGTAATAATCATCCGTAAGTTGCTTGACAACATTGAATATTCATTTACGTGTCACTAGAATGATGCTTCAGTGCTTTTCTTTTATGTTTCTTCTCCTTCTTGAACCGTTTCATGTCCATAAGGGTTGGCTTATAGTCGGAATCAGCAGAACTGGAACTATCTGACTGATCTTGTGGTCCTTCTTCGGATTCAGCATTCTCCTCCTTAATGTCCACATTTCCTTCATCAGAATTTGAAGATGAATCCTGATCCATTACCTCATCCGAACTTTCTTCAGAGGATGTGAAATCGGTTTCTTGTGACGCCGAGGAGTCTTCACTTTCCGAAGTAGACGGTGCATTTTTACTTTTTCTAACAAGGTAAGCAAACCAATTAATTTTTTATCATTTGAATGAATATTTTAATTGTTTCATAACAGTATTAAACTTGTTTATAAATATATGTAAATCACATGTTTCTTAACCTCATAACTCTTTAAAATCAATTTTCAAAATAGATCTTACCGCATAGCCTTCCTCATCAGCAACTCCCCCGAAATAATAGCTTTGAGCACCTCATCTTTTTCGGATTTAGTGAGACTGAATAAAATTAAAATAATTGTACAACATATTTATTTCGAATTATTTTCACAAACGATACTTACGAATCTAAAATGTGCCTTCTAGCGTGAGAAGATTTAGAAGACCGCCGCCTCGTCTTATGGCGGCAATCACAATCGCTTGTAGGTTCTGGTTTAATTTTGACCATTTTGCGTAATAATAAAAAGAGCTAAAGCACTGAACAAAGGCGTTTTAATAAATAAAATTTTGTACCAGTTGAAAGTGTTTGATCTACCCGCTAAGCAGATCCAAACAAACGAAGATAGCAACAGAAGCCCACTTTGGTACACGACAGGCAAGTTGATCATATCATTATATAGACAAGCGGCCAGTAACCTAATCTATTGGTATATTCAAAACTAGTAGAAAACTAGTGGGGTGTATGGCAAATTGCTGTATTTTATCTCGTACCATATGTTTTCAAATAGATTATTATCAATATTGTAACATTGTCTAATATTTATAAGAATTATATAAACTGAATTGCAAAGTTGAAATTATTTGTTTAAAGTATATTAGAACTTTAGTCAGAATTAAAAATAAAATCTGAATTATTTTCGATATACAAAAAAATTTTTTTTTGAAAAAAAAAGTTGAAACAAAAATATTTTTTTCCGAAATTAATTATTTTGTTAAGACAAGCAGAAAATTCTTTGAATCATTTAAATTGGACGCTTAGTTCTCACAAAAGCTGCCATTTTTTACACATTTAGCTCCGTATCTTTGAAATGGCTGGGCCTGCCTTTGTCAAAAACTAATAAACACTTCTTTCAATCATTATTAGTTGAATGTTTTTTAGATCATTCAAATCGGATGCTCCGTTCTCTCAAACACTCAATTTTTATTTTCTGCACTCTTTGCTCTTTATCTCCGTAACTGCTGGACCTACTTTTGTCAAAAACTAATCAGCACATCTCCCTATCAATAGGAATCGAATGTTTTTTGAATCATTCAAATCGCCTGGAAACGTGACTGGAAATTTGTATCCATACATACATACACACATACACACCCATCCATTTTTTCTGAGGTATGCCAAAATGTTCAGAAACCTTCAAAACGTCGAGAAATGTAAAAAAATTTAATTTCGATTTTCGGACCATTACAATAACACCCCACGAGAAGTTAAAAATAAACTAGTGGTGTATGGCATCTTTTATTTCTAATAATTTAATGTCTAGTTGTATAGTTATAATATATTTACATGAATATGCATTATTAACGTAGCGCCAATTACAATAAATACAATTTTAAACTTTTAAAATAATTTATTAATTTTAATATATACAGAAATTGTGCATGATATAGGAAATAAAAAATAAAATAAAAAAACTGAATGAAGTTCAAATTATGGGTATATGTTCTAATTATTCAGATTTAGCTTCTTTTTTCGAGTTTTTTTTATCAGCTCTTCTTGCTGCTGTTGCTACTGAGTTTGTTTTAGACCTGTAAAAGAATCACGGTTACCTTTTTTAATAAGAAAATAAACAGATTATTCTTTTTGCCGTTAGTCGGAGTATTTTATAAATATAATAGTTTCAATGAATTTGTTTCATAACAGCATTAAATTATTTCATAAACATTGAGCAAAAAAACTATATTGCGTGCTCAATTAACCATAACTTCATAATCCGACTATTCAATAATTCTTTAAAATAAATTTCAAAAATAGTTCCTACTTGATGTGCTTTCTCAGCAGTTCTTCTCCAGAGTTAATTGCTTCGAGTATTTCTTCCATGTCAGCATCTTTGAGCCTAAATAAAATTAAAATACCTGTACAACAAGTTGAATAAATTTAGAATAATTTTCTCAAACAATACTTACTCTGAGAGAAATACCTCAAAACTACTCGAAGAGTCCATAGCCTGCCGCTTCGGCTTCTCGTTTTTATTGGGCCTACCCATAATTTGAACAAAACTTAAAACAAAAAAAAGTTAATTAAGATGGTTGAAATAAAGATGGTATAAAAAGAAATGAAGGTGCTTGGCCAACCCGCTTAGCCGATCTAAACAAACGAAGATAGCAACAAAAGGCCACTTCGATACACAACAGGTAAGTTTATCATGACATTAAATTAACAATCAGCGCGTAACCTAATCTACGGATATACTCAAAAATGTAATAAAAAAAATCATTTTTCTATTTTACTTCAACAAGTAAGAAATAAATGTTGCATGATTTTATTTTATTACATACAATTATTATTATTATTACATACGATTGTTTAAACTTGAGTTGTCACGATGTATTTATGTATTTATAGTTCGAAGCGTATCCCGCGTTATTCAAAATATCGTGGAAATTCATCTTCGGTGCAAAGCTTCCACTCTAGCAATTTTGCTTTTTGTTGATCTGTGGCTTCTTTTGACATTTACCAATGATCATTTGCAAATAGTAAATATTGCAAAATATGATGATTAATTTGTTGTTCATCTGCAGTTAACTGGTACATTGAATAAAAATTATCGGATTAATTTTTATATCAATTACCGCGTACTGAAAATAATATAAAATGGCACTTTCTAAAAGCTACCGGGTTTTTGAAAAACCTGGACCGCCTACCCATAGTGTTTTATTGGAACATCGACATAAAAATGATACATTATTATTTGAATCGCTTGTTGTTGCAGTCCTATGTGAGTAGCAATAGTTATTACATTTTTCGACATAATTTAACTCTGTACTTTCAGTACAGTGCTTATTTATGAACTAGTAACTTGAGACTCTGAAAGACTTTTGAGACTCTTACAATATATCCAAGTGCATTGATAAATTTGTTAAATAATAACGATTTTAATTTTGCCTGATTATTTGTCATATTTGATTAGTTTGTGCAAATGCTGTGGGTAGTGAATAATAACTTATTTGATTTGTCAACTAAGTTTTTGTAGATATATTAATATTAATAAAACTAAATTACATGTAAAAATATTTATTTTGAGTTTCTTCATGCAGTTCAAATAATCCATTATAATTTATTATGTATATCTTCTTATTCTAGTATGGAATGAATATTATTCTCTTTGAAACTCTGAAAGTATTTTATATAATTTCACTTGTATATTTTGATCTCAAATAACCAAGCAGAATCTTTTATCTTAAATATTTATATCGTTTTTTTATTTTCAGCTCCCCAGGAAGTTGAAGTTATTAAAAAGCAATATACGAAAGTTTGTGACGCTTATGGATGCCTAGGAGTTTTGCAATTTACCATAGGCGAAAACACTGTTTTGTTTCTTGTTCTAGTCTCTGGATGTTTCTCTGTTGGAAAAATAGGGGATTCTGAAATATTTCGTATTACGCAGACTACATTTATTTCTCTACAACATCAAACACCTAATGATGAGAGGATATCTGAAGTAAAACTTGTTTGTTAATAAATCATAAGTGATCAACAAAAAAAAATTATAATAACTCAATTGTTTAGGTTCGCAAATTACTTAATTCTGGAACTTTTTATTTCTCATGGACAAGCGGAGATGCCCAGCCTATGGATATCACATTGTGTGCTCAAAGGTGGCACAGGACGAAATACACAGACAATAGATTTTTCTGGTATAGAATTCATAAATATATTTGTATCAATTTTTGAATGATGGTTATTATTATAGCAATCAAGTTACAAATGTAAATGATTTTCAATATTTAAAACTAGAATTTATTTATAATAATTGAGGTATAAATATTTTTATATAAAGTAAGTGGTAAAATAATTAACAATGAATTATAGGAATCGCATGTTGCATGTTCATATGAGAAGATTTGGCATTGACACGGATTCTTGGTTATTGAAAGCAATGTGTGGGTCTGTTGAAATTAGAACTGTCTACATTTCACATATTCAAGCAAAAGCTGCTTTGATATCGAGGCTTAGCTGTGAACGTGCTGGCACCAGGTTAGATCATGGTTGTCAGAATTTATTTGCATAAGCTAATAATGTGAGAATCATATACAAAGTATTTCCTTGATATTAAGAAAAGTTCTTTTGTAGATTTAATGTCAGAGGAACAAATGATGATGGACATGTGGCTAATTTTGTAGAAACTGAGCAAGTGATATTCCTTGATAAGCAAATTACTTCTTACATACAAACAAGAGGCTCAGTACCATTGTTCTGGGAGCAACCTGGTGTTCAGGTAATAACTATAACAATAATAATCTAAATGTAATATTGTTCAACTTGTAGCATATCAAGAGTTCATATGTGCAAATGAATAATTCATAATATTGTGTTGTCTGAATTATACTAACATATATGTCTTGTTTAAGGTGGGTTCTCACAAAGTGAGACTGTCGCGAGGATTTGCATGTTCTGCAATTGCTTTTGACCGGCACATGTCACTGATGAAAAAGAGATATGGAAAACAAGCAATAGTAAATTTACTAGGAACAAGTTTAATTGGAAGTAAGGAAGGGGAGGCAATGTTGAGTAATGAATTTCAGGTATAAAAGTTTATCATATATCTTAAATAAATTTGATTGAAAACATTAAAAAAATAAGTATGTCTCAATTTTGACCTATTCATCACAGAAACATCATTCTGAGTCCAAATTTCAACCAACCGTTCCACATATTGTATTTGATTATCATCAAGAGTGCAGAGGAGGCAATATTGGTGCTTTGTCTAAACTAGGTGCAAGAATTGCACAATTTTCTAAAGACATATCAATTTATTATGTAAATGATAACAACATCCAAAGGTTTGTTTCAAATCTTATTTACATAAATATTGTTATATACTATGCAAATTACTTGTTTTTAATGAAAACAAAATTTTAGCACGCAGAAGGGTACAATCAGAACAAATTGTTTGGATTGTCTAGATAGAACAAACTGTGTGCAGACATATATTGGATTAGAAGTAAGATTTTGAGTAAAATTGACTTTTTTAATTAAATTTGATAATATAAACTATTCTAAACTATGATAATATAAAATATGTTTGATTTTAGATACTTCAAGAGCAATTGAAAATGCTTCAAATACCAGATAGAAAACAAACTGCATCACGATTTGATGAAATTTATAAGCAGATGTGGATCATTAATGGAAATGAAGTTAGTAAAATATATGCAGGAACGGGAGCGATACAAGGAGGGTCCAAGGTTAAAATCATTGGAATATATTATTTGATGTAAAGTCACAATTAATTTATATGTTTACATATTTTAGCTTATGGATGGTGCACGATCTGCAGCTAGAACAATACAAAATAATTTACTGGACAATTATAAACAAGAAGCCATAGACATTTTTCTATTTGGATCTACTCTTAATTCAGAATTATTAGATCGGGCTCGAAACTTACTGCCATTTTATATGCTTCATGGTAAGTTGATATATAATATTAGCTCCTAAATTTGTTTTTTTAACATACTTATTCTTTAATTAAATTTTAGCTCCAACACCAGTTCTAAGAGAAATTTGTAAAAGATCCTCAGAGTTTTTAGAACCCCAAACATTTAGAGTAGCAGTAGGCACTTATAATGTAAATGGTGGCAAACATTTTAGAAGTCTTGCTTACAAAGATGTTTCATTATCTGATTGGTTGTTAGACTCGCATAATTCAGTTCATAAAAATTGTAAGTTTAAAATTATTTTGAAATTAAATTCATAGAACTGATTAGTGTGTTTATCTTAGCTCTGGTAAATCTAAGTCATCCAGAAGAATCTGAGGTGCCTATAGATATATTTGCTGTTGGCTTTGAAGAAATGGTTGATTTGAATGCAAGCAATATTATAGCAGCCAGGTAGAATATAAATAATGTATATAGTGTTTATTGTATCATTGAAATTTTAATATATTATTGGAATATCATTACATGAAATGAATTCTGATTTAGTTTATAGTAGGTACCATTTGATCATTTACCAATAACTTGTATTGAATATTGATATATTTTCTTTAGTTCCGATAATGCAAAGGCTTGGGCAGAAGAGTTAACAAAAGTATTATCAAAAGAACATCCTTACTCTTTATTGACATATCAGCAGTTAGTTGGAGTGTGTTTGTATGTATTTATTCGACCAGAACATGCCCCATATGTTAAAGATGTTGCAGTTGATTGCGTTAAAACTGGTCTGGGAGGAGCAACAGGTAACACTGAATTAAATATACTACTGAATTTAAACTACAGTTTTCTAATTATGTGAAGTGTTTGTATATTGCTTTAGTTATTTATTTTTAATTAAAGTCTCTGGGTGTAAATAATAATGATGCATTTTTCTTATATATTGATGATAAATTTTTGTGACAGGCAATAAAGGAGCAGCTGCGATTCGATTGGTATTACATGGAACAACTGTGTGTTTTGTTTGTGCACATTTTGCTGCAGGTCAATCACAGGTTTCAGAAAGAAATGCTGACTATGCTGAAATTACCAGAAAAATCACATTTCCTATGGTATGTTATAAGTATTGACACATTTTAGAAATTATCTTTGAATATTTTATTATGAAATGGTTTAGAATAAATGTTGTTAATTACAGTGTATACTTTATGTTAGTTTTTTGATTATATGTGTGTATTATTTTAGGGTCGAACATTAAATTCTCATGAATATGTTTTCTGGTGTGGTGATTTCAACTATAGAATCGATATGGACAAAGAAGAGTTAAAAGAATGCATATCACAGGGTCAACTCGATGTTATTTTAGAAAATGATCAGTTAAAGGTATATATGTATAATGTTACAATTATATAACATATACAAATCCTAATTTAATTTCTGCTCATGGGGAATATTTAAGATTTTTAATATAGTTTAATTATCTAGTTATATAGTTAGTTTATAATATAGCATTTTTTAATTATTTTTTTAAATTAAATTAATTTGTTACTTAACACATTTTATAAACGCATAGCATTTTAACTTAGAAAAATATATAAATGCATACATATATATGTTAATAATTTTCATTTCTCTTTCTCTCTTTTATATTTACAAATGAAATATTTTTGAATACACTATTTTACATATTTTAGAAACAACAAGAAGCTGGTAATGTATTTAAGAACTTTCTAGAAGGTCCTATCACATTTCCACCTACTTACAAATATGATTTATTCAGCGATGATTATGATACTAGTGAGAAATGTCGAGCACCTGCTTATACTGATCGTGTGTTATGGAAAAGAAGGAGACAGATAACTGATTCAGGTAATAAGGAATTAAAGAAATTGATATAGTTTAAATAAAAAATTAACAATTACACCAAATTAAATGCAGTTGATTGTCCAAAGTTTTTTTGAAAAAAAAAACATTTGTGACTACAAGTCTACAAGTTTGTTTTTTATTTTAATTAAATAATAATATTATTAGTGCATTGTTTCAATAATTATGAGATAATATTATTTAAAAATTTGTTTTTGTTATGCTACAGAAGATGAAGATACACCAGGTAAAGCCTCAGTACTTGTTAAAATGCATTCTAAAATATTTTATATTGCCTTATTAAGGAGCATGATCAAATATGAGCATATGAGCATATCTATGATTTTGATACCATTAAAATACAAATCAATTTTTTAACTCTGAAATTTGTTTTATATAAAAGTTGAAGGTGATAATAACTGGAGCCCAGGAAAATTAATTCATTATGGTCGAGCTGAATTGAAGCAAAGTGATCATAGACCAGTGATAGCGCTTATAGATGTTGAGGTATCTAAAATCAATGACCGTCAAAGAAAAGATGTATTTCGCAAAGTTTTGCTTGATTTGGGTCCTCCTGATGGAACAATCTGTTTGAAGGTGATATAAACAAGATGCTTAAGTGAGCTTTATAGGAGTCAAAAAATTAAATAATAATTATACTTTTAGTTTTTGCAAGATGAAAATGATGATTCTGCATCTGTTTTTGATCAGAATTTGATTGAGGCTTTGATTCAAGAAATTTCAAAAATTGGAGAAATAATATTAGTGAGATATTGTGGTGATACATTATGGATGACTTTTAGAAATGGTCAAGTTGCTTTGGCAGCTGCTAGTTTAAGGACATTAACAGTAAGTAGTTGTATTTGGATATAAAAAAAATGTTTATTTTGAATTATGCCATGTAGAAATGGTCAATGTAAAATGTGATTTCTAGGTTTTGGATGTTACTCTCAGTATATCTTTACGATCTCCTGACTGGGTAAATAAAACTGAAAAGGAGATAGAACTTTGTGCAGATAATACAGTTTGTATTTGTGATGAAACTCCTGAATACAATCGCAAGTATCATTTTTAGTAATAACTATTTAATGTTTTTTAGTATTTATATCATTCATTTTTTTGTTTCCTTTTTTATAGAATTAGGAATTCCTGAAACAACCGCTAAACCTCAACGACCACAACCTCCAAGCAGACCACCTTTGCCAAAATCTCCTGTATTTACTAAGAAAGTTCCGCAGGTGAATTATGATTAATATACTAGAATTATTTTTAACATTCAAATGCTTTTGTAGATAGGAACTCCTACATTAATTCTTAGTTTTTGCATTTAAAAAATATTTATTATATTTTTTGAAGGCCGGAGTATTTAGCATAACACCTAGTACTGTGCCCCAAGCACGCCAAAGACCACCACCGCCATCAAACTTAAATTCAAACATGCAGAATGATGTAGATACCAATGCTATTTATGAGGAGATAAATGAAGAAGAGGTGAGATTAGTTGATGAATAAAAAATAATCGACTTAAGCAATAAAAATTGAGATAAAGATATTTTCATAAAATTTTCAACTGATTGTTTTGAAAATATACAATAGAAAAAATAGAATCGATAATTAACAATATCAATTTCCAATTGATATCTTTCAAATAGACTTAAACTATATCTACTAGTAATAATTATTGTGCCCAAACACATGCTTGTGTGTCCAAGCGTGTCCCATTATTCCAAACTGCAATGAATTTTTATAATTTAACTACTTGTCATAGGACTATAATATTTTAGGATATTTGTTTAGACTATGAGTTTTATCGACTTGTTGAACGGCAAAAACGCAAAAAAAATTAACATCTAATTACATAGAATTGATCCGGCCGACCTTTGTCAAAAATTAATCAGCACGCTTACCTTCTAATATCTTTCGAATGATTTTAAAATTTACAAAACTTGTTCAGGAAAACGTAGATTAAAAATTTTGCACTTTTCTGCTAATTCTAAAGAAGTATCTTGGCCAATTGTCCCGCAAATCTAATGAACGCGAGTCCTTATCGAGTTTCATCGAATGGATTTTAAGATTTTGAAATCAGTTCGGCTGTTTGTAAACAAAAAAACGAAAGTTTAAATTTTGGCTCACATACACATATATACTTTCTCCACTTTTGGAGTTGTATGATTCAAAATGGATTGAAACGTCAAGAAAACATAAATCTAGCAAGTCCAATTATCTGGTGACAACCTAATCATCTTGATTGAGCTCATAAATTAATTTATAAAATGTACATTAGAGTGGTCCTTAATATGGTCATTTTTGAATTTCCTTGCTCTCAGGGGCTCAAATGCCTCCAAATTGATAAAAAGAAAAAATCCTCTATAAGTTTTAGCTCTTAATATTGTCTTTTAGATAGTGCGCAGTTAATCAAAGTATTGTATTGAAATAGCATGGAAAAATTTTCAATGGTACAAATGAATGAGTTTTATTCAAAATTCGACGCTCTACAAAACAAATGATAAAAAACCTGTTTTGTAGAGCGTCGAATTTTCAATAAAAGATGACACAAATTGTCATTTGTAATTTATTTGTCGCTAAGTTATACCTAAAAAACGTTTGTCAAATTTTCGAATTTTTTTCCATGCTATTTCCATACGAAGATATGATTGAATTGCGCATTATCTAAAAGTTAATATTAAGAACTAAAACTTTTACAGCTTTTTTTTTATCAATTTGGAATCATTTAAGCCCCTGGGAGCAATAAAATTCGAAAATGTCTATATTAAGGACCACACTAATGTACATAATTTGTGTTCAAAAGATTTTAACCATTATTTTGCAATATTTAGCATTTAAGTACGATTATTACTTAAATTAATTAAGTAATTAATTAATTATTAATTACTTAATTAATTTATTTATTACTTAATTTATTAATTAATTAATTAAATTATTAGTATTTAAAATACAAAAGTAAATAAAACCTGATTTGTACATATAAAAGGTTTGGTTCGTGAACTACATATGGCATTGAAATTTTATTTAAATTGAATTGAAAATATCTCATAAAAGGAAATAATCTTACCGGTTTCTCGCCAATAATGTTTTGGAGCTGTATCTTGCCTTAAATTTATATCTGTGATGTGGTATTGATTTATAGTATTTTCATAATATATACAGTTCAGTATACTGAAATTTTTATTAAAATATTTCACCTGTGTTACCATAAGCCACGACATTCTTGATACCTGTGCAGTAATAGTAAAGTGTGTAGATTTTATCTAATATCCTTTGTGAAGCTAATAATGTTATTCATTGATCATTTACAGGTGAGTTATCCTGTCCCGCAAGGTCCGCCACCGCCGCCACCTCCAAGCAGGACAGATGCTTACGAAGTGCCAATCGATTCTCCGCCATCTCGAAGTCCTCCTCAAAGCGCTCCGCCCCTTTGCCTCAAAGGCATGCTCCGCCAATTCCGCAAGGCAGTCCAGCTCATCGACAAGTTTCGGCCGGGGTTCCGCCACCAGTTCCTGCTCGGTCCGCCGGGCCACCACCGCTACCCGCCAGACCGGTAAATCAATAAATTATTATTATATTTTGAGTGCATTGAAGGTGTGGTGGATATCCAATTCTTCTGTGTCTAGCTAAAAAAAGTATTTGTAAAAATAAATTTGTCGGGCCACATATGTAATAAGTAGACGAATGATATTTATGGTTATTATTTGCTTAATGTGTATATTAAGGTGATCCTTGATATGGACATTTTCGAATTTTCTTGCTCCCAAGGGCTCACGTGCTTCCAAATTGATAAAAAAATCCTCTATAAGTTTTAGCTCTTAATATTGTCTTTTAGATAGTATGCAAATCAATCAAAATTTTTAGATATAACTTAGCGAACAAATGAATGGTTTTATTCAAAATTCGACGCTCTACAAAACAAATTATAAAAAACCTGTTTTGCAGAGGGTCGAATTATCAATAAAAGATGACACAAATTTTCACTTTTAATTCATTTGTCGCTAAGTTATACCTAAAAAACATTTTTAAAATTTTCGAAATTTTGTCCATGCTATTTCCATACGAAGCTTTGATTGAATTTAGCACTATCTAAAAGTTAATATTAAGAGCTAAAACTTTAAGAGAATTTTTTATCAATTTGGAAGCATTTAATCCCCTCTTAGCAAGGAAATTGGAAAAAGTCCATATTACGGACCACCCTAATATACATATATATATAGCAAATAATACATTATATACATTAATACCATTTCCAATTGTTATAATGAAATTATGGCCGACTATTTGTGGATCAAAATTTTCATTTTTTATTTGAGATTTCTTGCCATTTTATCTGAAAATTAATATTTTTATAACAATTTGGTATCTTTCACCCTATACTTGTTTGTTATATTTTACCTTTTCTCGAGAAAAGCTTCAGCCAGATATTTTATTTACTTAAATTTAATTGTATGTAATGATTTTTTTTCATTAGCGAGTTTGCAAAATTTTCAAACTGGTTAGATAAGTAATACTATTAACAATTAAGTATTTTAAACACGCAACTTACATTTCAGAGAATATTTTGGAAAAAATATTTGGAAATAATTGAATACGTCGATTGGTTTTCAACGTCGATCTTTATTTGTAATTTTAACTATAACCATAAATTGCATTTGAAATACGATATAATTCAAGTATTTTTAAATAACAATTTAAAATTTTACGATTTGTTGCAGTGTGTTTTACTAGTTACGTAATATCAAAATTGTTTTTCCGCATTTTTAATGACTTTTCATTGAAGATGTTCATGATCACGGACTTTAAATGATTTATTAACGCTTTTTTATTGTGATAATTGATTTTTTTAAAATTAAAACGATTTATTTATATTAATATTTTGGATCGATTATGAGTTAACTAAATTTGTATAAACACACATTATATTCAAATGCATGAAATTAAAAATGTTATATAATAACATAGGATGACGTGCAATATTAAAATTGAGTAACACGCATTATAAATAAATAAATATATATATGATATTTTTGTTCCACGTTTTCCTTTATCAAGCAATGTATTATGAATTTCAAGTGATCAATGAATATTTTAATTCCAAGTATAGGTTTGAGATAATGAATATTTTTTATTCTTTTTATAATTAATCTAGTTGTCTTAAGTCTAAGTTATATTTATCCGGATTTGTAATCCGGATCTAACAAAGTTATTTTGCATTAAGTCAATTTACAATCATATATTTTTTTAATTAAATGTAACGTGTTGAGCACAGGTAATCAGTATAATTATTACTAAATTTATGTAACTTCAAGGTTTACATGAATTATTTTATTGGCTGTAAAATAACGTCAATCGGGCTATCTTGTGTCCGTCCGTCGCTGTCGTACTTACTTTGTTTATTGTTTAATATTTTGTATTTGTTTTTTCTATTTAAATTAATTAAGTATTATAATAAATTATTGTATGATGATATATATAAAAAATGAATATTTGAGTACCTAGTGTGAATACAACAAATATATTATCCGTACTTCAGATAAGAATATAAGTACATGCATATGGACTTATAAAATGTTTGGCTGCTTATAGATCACAATTATGTTGAATAAAGGACACTGTCCAATCTTGTTATTTTAATTTTAATATTTAATTAATATTTGTAATTAAATATTATAAATCTTTGAAAATACGTAGCAGAAAGGCCTTTAGTTTTTGTCGACCTTTTTATAGAATACGATGCAACAAAATAATAGAGCCTATTGAGTATATTCTTATATATTAACTAAGTATCACATATTCCGCGAATTCATTACTACACAGTGGCAATTGCTTTGAAAAATATCATCTGTTGAAAGAATATGAAAATAATTTTCATTAAAAAATTATAAATCTATTAAAAATATTGTATTTGTATTGGTTTGGTTATTTTAGAAGGTGGCAAGATTTCTTCTTGACTTGTCTTCTAACTGTTGCTTCTCTCACTTCTTATTTCATTGCATTTTTTATTTAGTCAATTCAAAGGATTTATAGCTTTATTGTGATTCTTAAATATTTTATTTGTGATTATTTCATTACATTCCTGCATCCCGCTAATCTTGTTAAATTCTGCCATCAAATTTTTGGCAAAACTAATGGATTTATTTTTCCTGAAAATTTCATGTTGGCTTTCATGGAAGCTTCCAGTGCAGCATTTTGTTTGGCAAGTTCTTTGTATTCTGCTTTTCCCAAACCAAGGTACTTGGTCGGTGTTTCTCCTCTAGTGAGCATCAAATCTCTCAATTGACCATAATTGAATGTGAGCTCTTCTTTCTTTAAATTTTACTTGTTCCTCGGTTTGTATTTTAGCTTCTAGTTTAAAAACATCATACTCTTCTTCTATTTGCGGATATGTTAGATTTACACTTTTGTATCTTAATAATATCCATGGCTTCAATTTCCTTGACAAGTGTTTCTAACTGCGTATTCAAATCTTCGATTTCTTTCAAGTCGATGTTTTTTTTTCTATTATTAATTCTGATAATTATTTTGTTATGCTGGATGTTGCAAATAAGACAAGAATTGAAAAGCACTTGAAATATTTTATTTAATCTTTTAGGACCTATTAAATAGACATCATAAAGGCAAAAAGTCTTTCTCCCTGTTATAAAGCATAGGTTCTAAAAATAAATTTTGCAATATTCAATATCAACTTTAGTTCATCAACCCTTTTCGCTTCTGAGCCAAAATATATTGCGAACACAGTTTCATAAATAATTTTTCCCAAGCTAATATTGTAGTCGATGATGGTCTTTGAAGAAGTTTTGAAGCCTTCCATACCTACGTCCTATTTATATATGATATATCATCCTTTGCTATTGTACAATACTGTAAACTATAATATATTAATATAAATGTATTTTATTTATTTATTTTATAAATGTAGTTTATTTTCAACTTCATTAAGAAAGAACATCTTTATATATAAAGATTTATTATACACAAATTGGGTACTCGGTCATATTACATAATTGAGCCTTCAATCTTAAATATTTTGGATACAATAAAGTGTTTTCTCTATTCCGAATTGAATTTGGTAAGCTCATCGTGATTTAAATTTTTCGTACAAGTTTCAAATTTATTACATTTTTTTCTACGTTATTATTCTTCGATATATAACTTTTACATGTACATAATTTAACTTATAAATTTTACTTAATTAATCTAATTTACATATAATTAATTAAATATAACTAATATTTTTTTTAAATATAACTAATAATTTTTAACTAATATATTTTAATTAATCGAAAGTACATATGCATGTATGGCCTTATGTAAAGTTATGGATAATAAAGGCTAATAACGAGAAATAAATTAAAATTGTAGCTTTTATGTTAAACAAATCTCGTTGGAAAAAGCCTTAAATTACCAATGTATATAACAAATCAAATTAAGTAATTCAATTAGAATTTTTATTTTAATAAGTGCTATTCTGTGAACAGTTTTAGTACAAAAAGTATACGCTTACATGCATTTCTTTCCCTAAAATGGTTAATCTAGAATTGTTGCAATGCACCAAAGAATCTATTTATTATGAGAATTACTTATGAAATTATAAAATGATATTATTAACTAATTCTTAGTAGTAAATTTAGTTATTTAAATCTATTACTTTAATTAAAAATATACCAGTGTTACGTAGCTGATAAATACTTATTATTATTATTACTATTAATATTATTATTATTAAAATTTCCGTTCATTATGCAAGTCATAGTGTTACATTTTCGTAATATATATAGCATTCCAAACAATATATAAATTAGAAAATATATATACATATATCTACAAATTTGGAATTATATGTAGTTAATAGCTTTTATTTGCTCAAATAATTTGAATAATTAAGGTATTAATTTATTTATATTTGTTAGCTTAGAAAGAGTAAATGTGATATACAAATAAAAATATAATTATATGTCAATAGTTGTTTTTGTTTCAATTACATCATGTTTACGAATATTATTGAAGAAATAGAATTGTACATAGGAAAGAATATGTAATCGAAATCAAAATATGTAGTTCTATTATACAATCTATCCAATTAAAATCAATTCACTCTCAGGGTCAGCAAACGAAAGCGGAACGAACGTTTGCATTTAAAGGCCAGATAATTCTTTGAAATTCAAATAGAATTAATTTAAACAATACTTTTTGCGTAAAAAACAACAATCGTCGATGTAATATTTAAAATAATGGGCAAGACCAAGTAATAAGGTGACCATATTTTTTCAAGTCAAAACCGTGACGGTAATTTTTGGTTATGACGGGGGAAGGGGGGGGGGTGGTGTATAAATATTTAAAAATTTAATATGATTTTAAAATAACAAACAATATTTAAGAATGCAATAAAAATCCGAAAGCTTTCAAACTTATTATAAATTTTTCTTCAATTTTACTCATAATTATTCAAAAATAATTAGCACATAGATATTCCAGGCAGTCAAGAAGTTCGTTCTCATAATTTTTATTAATTTTCGTAAAATTTCAAATATAAGTTCAAAATTATGAATGTTAGAGGCTATTTCAACCTGCTTTTTTCATATAAGCATACTATTTGTACATAACATTTTTAGATATTTGATGGGTGGGTAGTTGTAATTTTATTATCAAGTAAGAGCGAAAATTCAATTTTCGAAAAACCGGGACAAAAGATATAAATCCGGGGCAAATATTGCTTTTTAGAAAAACCCGGGACACATGGTGGAAATCCGGGACAGTCCCGGCTAAACCGGAACGTATGGTCACCTTACTAGTAAAGATGTAATGACCTTACTGTCGCAACTAACAAGTAACAACATGCTCTTGAATTTAATTACAGAATAAATTGTTAGTTATTTATAAATTATTGATTTGTTTTTCCATTCGTAAGCAAGGTTGTGAAGGACCATAATAATGGTTTTCTTTATATTCACAACTCACGTATAATCGATCGAATCATAAGTATACCCATGGGGGGTTATCTCTGAACAAATACGCTTTACCGTGTTTTGACATTGGGTATTGCCAAGCTTAGATTATAGATGGCTTACATTCGCTCAATTACAACAACGCTCGTTCGCGCATTTGACAGCCGTCGTACGAATGTGCCAATAACCCATATGTTGTTGCTAAATATTTCTGTTCTAGTGAATATTTAATAAATAAATTTAGTATGGTCACGTGCCAAGTTGTTTCAACTAATGAATATTGAATTGCACGTCTTAAGTGATGGCCAGGTATGTATGATGAGTTATATTTATTCATATAATGAAAATGTATAATAATAATACACGATGAAAATGTCAGAAGTCAAACACTTTTCAATCAATTCAAGAAAGCATCCTAAAGTTCATGTTCTCCGGAGCCTAAATATGCCGGATTTGTACTATATGAATGTATTTTAATAATAATTATTTTAGAACTTGGTATATCAATGTCAATTCATAAAAATGATGTAGAGGCAGTGGCAGATTGTCGAAGGAGAGTAATCTTACTTCAGGTAACTAAATACAAGTTGCTTATATATTTTATTTTGAATAATGTAGTTGTATCTTTAAATCAAGTATCTGTCTTTCTTGTAATAATTTATATAATAATATGCTTCTTGTTTAGGCTTCTTTGACCTGTATTGAAGTGTGTGGATTAGACAAATCTCCTTTACGGGAATCATGAAAGAGTTTCCCTCTCACACAGTCACGACTAGGAGAGCATTCTGATGTAGAATCAGGCGATAATTCTGATAGAGGGTAAACAAAACAATCTAATAAAAAAACATGACAGTGTGCAAATCCAGAGAAAGGGCCAAGTAATTTTAATTCTAAATACCATTTGCAAAGAAAATAAGTAAGGACATGATTCTTGCTTTGAAACTGTACAAAAAGTCTGCAAAGGTATCAAATGCATACATTTTTATTCTGTTTATTGAAAACACTTGGCTTTATAGTTTTTTTTTATCTTTATGTAAGTTTTAATGTTAATGGATTCATCATGATCATAAAATGAATAAATGTAATTTTTAAAATCACTCATACACAGAAACTATTTAAAGATTTCGTCAAATGTAACTTTATTAATGATTGATTAGATAGCAAAGTAACTATTAAATGGAGAGATAATAAAGAAGAACATCTCGTAAATGAATTTTAATCCTAGGAATTTAGTTTTATCTCTATTTAATTTCGAGGTTTATTTTGTTTGGGAAGTATTCGTTCTTTTTTTAGAAATTTGCTGTTCTTTTTATTCTTTAAAATTTTTGCATTACTTGCCATTCCTTCTAAATTTGTAATTCCATCGTCAATACTCCTGCGCTTTTCACTTCTTAGTTTTTTAAGTTTTTAATATATTATTATTAGTCATTAAGTAATTAATATTAATATCGTTAATTAATATTAATAAGTTACTTTTCTTTAGTTTGTAGTACTTTAAAAATATGTTTGTAATATACTTTAATTAATAGTAGTCAGTTATTTCTGTTTAGTTTATATTTCTTCCAAAATATGTCTGTGATATATTTGAAAATATATTTTGTATTTCGTATGTTTGTTCTTATTTCAAATATTAAAAATTTTTTAGATTTTTTGGCTGTAATGATTATATGTACAAATGTAGAAGTAAACCAGGGGTTAATTTACAAATGAACATGTGCTGCCATCAATAATCTTAGCTCCGCACTTCAATCGATGAAACGTCAAATCGCCCGACATAGCTATCTATTTATACTTGTTTATCTATGAGTATACCTAAGTACCTA